GGACAAGAAGCAATAACATTAGTATTATTTGCTGATGATATAACCTAGAATATCCAAGACAGCCAACAAAAAACTATGAGAAATGAATTTAATAAAGAGGCATTATATATAAAATGAGTCATTAAGAAACAGAAAAACAACCAAGAAATGGGTGAAGGATATGGACAAACAGCCATTTACAAAAGAGGTAATTGAAAGGGCTAAAAATTATATGCAAAGATTTCCAAGCACACTGGTAGTATGATCAGGAAAATGCAAATTAAAAAAATATATATTTTTCAGCCATACAACTGTATATTCATACTAGATACATACAAACAATAAAACCAAATCATCCATTCTCCACATCATATACACATTAAAAATATGATTACGTGTACTGACACAGAAATCAGTCAATCACATTTGCTAAATGAAAAAAGCTGAAGATGTTTACAAGAATCCTATAAATAAGTGCTAACGCACATGTATACTTGTCCCATACTTAATTTTTTAAAAGATCTGAAGAATACATAGCAAAGTTTATTGTTTGAAACTGGGGAGAGATGTATAAAGGGAGGACTTGTCTTTTCACTCTACGTACAATGAATTGTTTGAATTTTTAGAATAATTTAGTTTTGTAATTTTTACAAATTTCTAATTTTAGCAAACCGATTACCAAACTGCATATGTATGACATTAAGATCAATTAGTTTTATTTTTAGAATTATGTATGCTTTTGAAAATGGATGACTCAATATCAGTCTATCCTACAGATGAAGATAAAATTGACAAAGGCTATTCGTATTAGGCTCCAACAATGCTAAAAACTGGGAACTCATCAATTCTCAAATATTAGTTACTCCACTTTGAAAAGTTCTACCCTTTTGGCAAGATGTTTATTGATACTATTCTGCTCTGATAAGCTATACGCAATATCAAAATAGAAGTCCTCCATCACATACATCTCTCAAATACGTAAAAACAATATGTCTACCTTATATAAAGTGCTCTTTTACAGTATTTTTCATTAATTCATTTATGGCCTACTTTCTAATGATCTATTGAGTGGCTCCTTTATGTCACACACCATGCTAAATATCCTGAACACAAAGCTGTACAAAAGACACACCCTACCCTCAGCAGGTGGAGAAAACAGACAAAAAATACTTTACAAAGTAATATATGGCAGGACATAAACAAGATACAGTAAACATACAAGGAAAGGATTCCCAAGATGCTTATTTATAGTCTTTGATTTTTCTCTAATAAATAGAAAAAGGTTAAAAAAA